GCCCCAGGGACAAGGTCCAGCCTAATTCCCTTGGTGGCCCCTTGCTGCAGGACTTGCAGCCTTGGCACAGGAAACGTGGCAGTGGCGGATGATGGTTAGGTGCACGTGTGTACATTTGCTCAAAAATGGTCTAAGGGCCATACAGGGTTTTAAGCCTGAGGGGGAGGAGGCTTGAGGAAGGGGGCAAGAATAGTTTCCCTCTGTTCAGTCATTTGTTTACCTCTATTTTCCAGCTCCAGGAGGAGCCTGTGTGCTTCCCAAGAGCAGTGGAAGGAAGCACAACTGTCCTGGGCACTTGCCTCCTTCCTCTCACCTTCCCCATCCCAGTCTCTCCAAACCTGCTGTAAAATGAAACCCTTCTCCCCTCTGCCCTCACATGTCCCTTCTCTGGAAAGGTGGGCATTCCTCTGTCCCAGCCCCCCAGTGACTTTGGGCCAAAGTCCAGGCTCCAACACTCCACAGTGCCGTTCTGCACCCTCTGGCCCCCTTCCTAGTCCAGAAACGTGGTGGGTGCACTCCTGCCTTCAAGACCTTTGCAACTGGCTTGTTCCCCTGACCTGGCACATTTTTTCCCCTCAGTAGAATGTTCCAGCCCTCATTTCCTCCACGTCTCTGACCAAACTGTACCTTATCAGAAGTCTTCTCTGCTCATCCATAGGACAGTCCCCATTGCCCCCAGGCCTCCTTGTCCTCTTTGCTTCAATCTGGTCCAGCCTCTTGTCATCCTGACACATTATGCATGTTTGCTCATTGGTTTATTGTCTGGGCCAGGACAGGAAGGAGGACTCTCCGCCCCACTGGCCAAGCTCCATGGAGACAGAGATGGGCTTGGTCTCGAGCCCTCCCCTAATCCCCGTGATCCCGCCAGGGTTTGGCCAGCTGTAGGCCAAGGTCCAGTACTGATGACATCCATACACCCTTGACAAGCTCTTGCCCTGTCACCCAGAACATTTCCCTGACGGCTATCTTACTCATCCTTGACCCGCGCAGGGAGGGAGGCCCGCGACATCCAGGAGAGCATTCAGGGCTGCCCTCTCGTCCTCCTCTGGCGTCATCTTTGAGAAAACAGGGTAGTCCTGGTGAAGGGTGGTGAGTGTGTTCTGCAGAGTCTCCGCCGGCACCATGCTCAGAGTGAACCTTTGCTCTGCGCTCTGATTTGACCCCTCTCCCTGCTAACCTGCTTGTTTTGTCTCTTGCTTTTAACTAGGCTATGCCAGAGCCTGCCAAGCACAGCACCGGCCACATAAACGTGGGCTGACAGCACAGAAGCATGGGGTAGGTAGGTGTGTGGTCACTGCAGCCCACGTCAGCTCGCTGCTTTGGGGGTGAAAAGCCCAGAATCCTTTCTGGAGACTCAGGCTCCAGTGTTCTGTGCGCCACCAAAGCCGGCTGGGCCGTTTTCACTCCAGATGGAGCTCTGTGGTTAATAAGGGAGAGAGCACTGGGCAGCAGCTGGTGCTGAGGGAGGGAGAGGAGTGCAAGGCCGACTCACCTCCATGCCTTAGCTCCCTGGAGCCCAGGAGACAGTGGCTTAGACGCTTGCAAGAACTGGGGGGTGGCTGCTCAGTGACAGCTGGGGGAATTTATGCACACTGTCAGGATACAGGCTTACACTTCGAATGAGTTCCAACTCTTTATTTTTAAATCCCCCAGCTGGCTGAAGACTTAGAAGGAATGATGAGACAATTATTTGCATCTTGTCCCAGGCGGGCTGTCACTCAGAGTCCAGGAAAAGGCGGCTGTGTCAGGAGCTTTGCCACACTCCTTGGAAGCTGAGTGACAGCAGGTGGTCTGCTGGGCAGTCCACGTAGCAGCAGCGACCCTGCCTCTGACTCAGTAACATTTCTACTAGAGAGAACCTGGGACTGGCCCAGCTTGAGTGAAGAGCGGGGCTGTGGGCTGCCTGCTGTGCACACCCTCTTCACTCCTGCCGCCCAAGCCTCAAAAAGGCACCCCCTGGGGGAGCACCTGTCCTTCTCTGGACAGAGGCATATGAGCCGAGGGTCCTGGCTGTAGTGGACACTTAGTTTTATATGCTTAACATGTGAACCCCCTTCCTGGGTCTGGGGGTAGCTCTCCCCATTATGAAGCCAGCTCCACCAACCTCCCACCCCAGCTAATGGAACACACCTGCTGGATTCTGAGTTGACCACTAGTGATGGTGTGAAATCTAGTCTGGAGACCGGCAGCAGCCTCAATATTTAGTTTCTGAAAGAGTGGAGGTGGTGGTTCTAGTGACAGCGGTTGGCTTTGGGGGCATCTGTGGTGTAAGTCACAGGGTGTGAGCACGGGAAGGACTGGGGAGTCGCCAAGTCTGGCGATCATGTGACTTAGCCCATATCCTTTAAGACACATGTTTCCTACCCAGCTAGAGTTGCTGTCTAATTTCAACTAAAAACTCTGACACAGTGGTGAGTGGTGACACAGAGACCATGAGAGAACAAAGCCAGTGACTAAGAATTCTCCTCGGCAAGTGTGCCCTCTTGGGTTTGTAGCTGGAAAGGTCTTCCAAAAAGGAAGGTGTAACCATTGCCCCATGCCCAGTTTAGATGGAGCTCGGGGCTGTGCCCTTTGTGAAGCCTGTCTCGCCAGTCACCAGCCGTAGGCATCTGGCAGCCACCCTGCTGAGAGGTGGTCCTGTCCTGGAGCATGGGAGGCTTGACAGTGTGCCTCCTTAGGTCTTCTCAAACATGACTGGCATCTTTTCCTACTTGCTGCACCAGTCCAGTGATAACTGCCCCCAGTAAGTGCCTTCTTGAGCAATTCGTTTTTCATAATAGTTGACATACTACAACAAGGCAGAGAGGTGAATCGTGACTTTAGAGTTCATTGGTTCCAATGATTCCTGTCCTTCTAAGAAGGCATTTTTGCCAGAATTGCACATATGCTCCTTAAAAACATATACAGTTGTTTTCTGACAGAATTTTCCCATCTCTCAAACCGTCAAACCCTGTGTGCATTTGGTTTGAAAATAGTCTTTCTTGCAGTTTCAGGTGGTCTTGTTCCTTAGAAGTGTCTTGGTAACTTGAGGATATGGCTTTTCCTAAACAGCTTTGAGGGAACAGGGGGACCCCAGGCTCTAAGGTGGTGGCAGTGTGGCTGTACCGTCCCCTCACCAGCAGAGCTATAAGTGTCCCAAGTCCGGGAGAACAGAAGGCATTGTGAGAACATGCAAAGTGCAGAAGTGTACAGAACAGATGGCAGGGGCTTCAAAAGCGTAAGAATCACCTTGAAAGATAATGGCACTGAGGGAGGGGGCGGGAGGCTTTTGTACTTTTTGACAGGGAAGCAGGGGAGACAAAAGTGATTTGCCAGACTTGCGTGTAAGTCAATAGAACTGAGATGCTCTGCCATAATTTACATCAAGGCAGGCCCAGCTGCCTGTCTTCTTGTCCAGAAATAAGTGGTATCAATCAACTGACAAACTGTTTCTCTTGCCTCCTGATCTTTTTGGTACATAAGGAGCATTCACATCCTCTCTATCCAGGCAGTCATTGTGTAATGATCTCTCCTTCCATTCCCCGCACCTCAGAAGAGTTGCCGATGCTCTGACTGACCTCCAGTCACCAGCTTGACTGGAGAGTCTCGCAGCTCCCCCAGCCCAGCCACTGGGCGTATCTGGCTTCAGGGGAGCAGCTGCCATTCCCTCCCACTGAGCCCTGCCCTAGTCTGTGGGCCTCTTGCCCGGCTGCCAGATGGGGAGACTGAGGCCCACAGAGGCTAAACAATGGCCCACGTCATGGGGCTGCCGGTGGGGAGGCTAGTCCATCTGACTCAGAGACGGAGCCTTCCATGTTACTGGGGTCCCCTGGGTCAGGGCCAGAGCGAGCAGCAGGTGGGCAGCCAGCTGCTTTTCGACTGATGATGTGACAAGAAATGTTTGTCACAGAACCTGCTAAACCCCAGCCGTGGCAAAGGTCTAAGCTTGGCCTCTCTGCTCTGAGGAGGGAGAGAGGAAAGAGTACCCCTGCCCCACTGCAACCACTGCCACTGTGTGTGGAGAACAAGCCCCCCAGGCACCCGGGCTCCTGGTGTGGGAACCTGTCCACTGAGGCCAGGATGGTAGCAGGACAAGCCTCTCTTATCCCCCTCCAGCATCTGTTCCCCTTCTTGGTGGCGTGGGCCTCAGCTGCTTGTGAAAGGGATCAAGCCTCAGAAGCCTGTTCTTTGAAGCTGACAGCTTGATGCCTGTGGAAATGCAGTACTATTTCAGGATTTCATTTGAAAGAGGTTTCAAAAGAGTGAATCGAAGGCTCGGTTGAATTGCTTATTATGGCTCTTCTCCCGGCCGCGTCTCGGTTGGTGAGCCCAAACACAGCATCTGCGGCTTTGCACGTCATCCACAGGCAGGTGATGGTTCTAAATTAGCACCTGGCTCATTCTGGAAGGCTGTAACTCTTCCCGAGTCTTTGCCTGAGAGGCGACCGGGCCTTTAGCAGCTTGTACCTTTACATTCTCCGTGTTTGAAATGATCCACCAGGGAGCTTATCTGGTCAATGACATGAGTCTTGTTTATGTTAAGCATGTGCTTAGTCGCTCAGTCATGTTTGACTCTTTGCAACCCCATGGACTGTAGCCTGCCAGGCTCCTCTGTCCATGGGCTTCTCCAGGCCAGAATACTGGAGTGGGTTGCTATGCCCTCCTCCAGGGGATCTTCCAGGGATTGAAACCAAGTCTGCCGTGTTGCAGGCGGATTCTTTACAGACTGAGCCACCAGGGAAACGTGTTAAAGACACTAAAAATAAAGGCTATGAAATGTGGGGCTTGTGATCTCTCCCCCATGGACCCTCTGAGACAAAAGGGAGCAAACAGGCTTCCAAGGAAAGAGGTGGCAGAGAAAGGAAGGCTCTGGGCACCACGGCAGCTCAGGGGGGCACGGCCCCACCTACCCACACCGTCTGTGGGATCTGCCGCACCAACGGCAGGCCTCTGGGTGGTACCACCTTCCTGTCTCACACCTTATCCTCCCCTGTCCCACTGCCCCCACCCTGAGCGCTGAGTCATGTCTCCTGTATTTTTGTATTTCCACACCTGACACAGCTTCCTACATGTGCCGATGAATGATGGAAGGAACCACCTAGTAAGCTGTGGAGAAAGGTTTCACATACTTGCTTCTTGGCGCTCACGGTCTCCAGACACCTGAAGGCCTCATGGTGAAAATGCTGCTGGGAGAAAGGCCTGAGCCCAGCCTGGCTCTGCTGCAGGGGGAGCACTGTTTCTGAGCACATCTTGCATTTCTGTGGCATTGGATGCTGCAGACTCACGACATGGCTCCCCCAGAACACAGGGTCGTGCTGCTCCCTGCTGGCCATCACCCCACGTGGGAGGGTGGAGGTGGGGGCACAGGCCTATGCACACAGACTCTCTGCCTACACCAGCCCCCAAACAACAGTTGGCCCAGCTATAAGAAGAGTTGGCTCCTCCTCTGCCTTTTTTTCTTCTTGGTTAGATTGAAAGATGTGGGATTTTTCACAAGGCAGGAGAAACCCCTAATTCATGGGTGGCCAAGATAAAATCCTTGAAGACCATGAGCCAAAGTGAAGTGGGAGCAGTTTTCTAAATCTGGGTGAGAGAACTGTCACACGAAGATAGCCATGCCCATAGGACAAGATGCTGAGAAAGCCAGCTAGGCACGAGAAAACCAGGCCCCACAGAAAGAGCTGTTCTATTCAGTAAACAATTTGACCCACAGACAGACCATACCCTGTTAAGATGTTCCCTTTGTTAAGGTTTGCAGCTGCTGGAAGGATCTTTCCATGTTGAAGATGTGTCACTAGCTCATGGAACCTGTTCGGGAACTCTGCGAGAGCTGATTTAAGCTGCCTTTTCACTTCACTCTGCACTCAACAGAGACCCACTTCTAATCTGTCCTCAGACTCCAGGAGACCAGATGCTGTGACAAAAGTTTCAGTGAGATGAGTGTAGACGATGACCCCCCACCAGTGCTCCTCAGGGGAGCACAGAAGTCAGCGGCCCTTTCTGGGGTTTGGATGTCTACTGCTTTCAAGTGTGTCACTATCATCCCCTCCCTGCCAGGGATTCTGACGGGCAAGACTTTGGGGAAAGCACAGGGGATCTTGGGGAACACAAGGAAGTGCCCATGAGAAAGAGACAGACTGAGCACCGAGGCCCTACTGCATCTGGCAACCTGAATTGGGCAGCAGTTCCTGCAAATGAGAAGCCACCGCCTTCGTTAGGTAGGTCATCGTCCCATAAGCCCCACTTGGAGCGCTGTCGTAAAAGAAGTGGCAGATGCCTGTGGCTTGGTCTTTCTCCAGCGTGTCCGTGGCTCCAGTCGACACCTGTAGCAGGAAAAAAAGGCAGAGGCAATGTGTGAGCAGAGCCGGCGCTCCCATCTGAACATGGGCAGTGCAACACTGATTCTAGAATGAGAGGATGGCTTCTCCTAGCTGGACTTTGGTTTACATGGGGCCAGACATGTGTTGGCTCTAAAACCTATACTGAAGGGGGCCTGTCCATCTCCAAAGGTCAAGATTTCCCAGCGGCCACAAACCATTTTCAAACCAAATGGTTGACATTTTTCACCATCTGTCAGGGCATTTTTTGTTTAAGAACGACCTCTCCTACTAGACACAGGATCTCCAGCTTCGAGAGAGGTGAATGGCAGCCAACCCAGCTATACTGCCTCTGGGCACGCCCACCTGGTCCTGTAGGAACAGCTGGTTGGCCATGTGCACAATCTGGTCCACGTGGATGATGCCCCCGATGCTGTTCATCTCTGTGTCTGAGAGCAGTGTCAGCACCATGATGGCTTCCACCAGCAGCTGCCGGTACTCGGGTTGTGGCACTCGGTTCAGCACTGACTCAACATGGACAGCAAACTTGATCTCCTGCGGGGTCATCTGCCAAGGGACCAGCAGAGACGGGTCAGGAGCGAGCAGAGGACAGACAGCCCTGTCACCCACGCCGCCGACAGCACCCACTGACTCAGAGGGCTACCTTGCTGGCCACTTGGCTAATCCTGCTCACAGGAATCCTCTGAAGCAGGAGGCTGAGAGCCAGCCAGCCCTGTCCTAGCATTAGTCACCCATCCCGATGGACTGTGACCTCTAGCAACCCGACTATGTCTTGTTTTTTTTCTTTCTTCATTATTCTTTGTGTCATATAGCATGGTGCCTTCGGTAGGGTAAAAATTAAAACATCAATTTTTTAAAGAATGAACAGGGGTAAAGAAACCAGGGAAGATGACTGTTGTCAGAGGAGGCTGCTATGGGTCCAGGGAACTCTTCCCTTACCAGAGTTTTCAGGAGCGATCTAGAGATCTGGAGAGTCCAGATATGCTGTTTCTGGGGGGAAGGAGGAAAGGTGATGCTAATGTGGGAAAAAACTGTAAAACTTGAGGGTTAAGTGCTGAGAAAGATGCACACGTGCTATGTCGCTTCAGTCGTGTCTCTCTGTGGCCCCCCAGGTTCCTCTGTCCATGGGATTCTCCAGGCAGGAATACTGGAGTGGATTGTTATTTCCTCCTTTAAGGTATCTTCCTGACCCAGGGATTGAACCTGTGTCTCTCGCATTGCCAGGCAGGTTCTTTACCACTAGTATCACCTGGGAAGCCCTGAGATAGGGCTTGCAAAAGGCCTGTATGTATGTAATGAGCTTGAAAGAAGGGTGAGTGGAAAGAGTCCAAGAAATCGCACTCGGTGAAAACTCACGGCATGTATGTTTTTCCCATCATACCTCTTGCGTGGTCGAGGACGGGAGCACGTAACCGTCAATGGACAGACCATGGCACTGGAGGCAGAACACATTGCACATGTCAGAACCTGATTAAAAAGTGTGCATACACACTCACGTTGCGCTGCCCTGGAAGCCAGCGCGAGGACTGGAACACGCCAGACTGTGAGAGTTATTTTTAGAGAGCTTGTTCTCACTGCCCACAAGCTGTGTTTTCGATGGAACAGTTCTAAGGAGCCGGCAGGCGTTGTTCAGATCTCACATGAACAACGCCCCAGGGACCTGCTGGGTTGTCCTCTGTGGGAGCTCCGAGTTTCACTCAGCAGCCCAGTCCTGGCAGCTGAGAGGCCCCCTTTGGTGCCAGAGCAAGGGAGATGTGCATGGTTCCTGCTGGCAGAGTGATCCTTCTATGCCTTCGCAGGCATCTATTTTTGAGGTTTCTATAATAAGCACCAATCACAAAAGACTAGAGCACATGCACAGACACGCACACGCACACTTGTGTATATAAATAACAAGTGCTGGCTCTGTACAAAGTGCCGCTTTTTCATAATAAAAGCAGCTTGGTATCAGGCCAGCAGGAGCCCGGATGGAAGCATGCGAGGCCCCAGAAGAGTGGGAAGGTCTTCTAGGAACCACTGGAGGCCTCTGCTCCCATGTGGGCACCAAAGTCACCTAAGAGGACAGGGCACCCTCGGGCCTCCTGTGCCCAAGCTTTGACGGACCTCACAGGGAGCAGAATGCAGAAGACTGGGGAGGGGGTGTTGTGCGCCCTCTTTGGGGTGACTTTTCTCTCCTGGCCTCTCCTACTGTGAAATAAGCTAACAAAAATAGCTGAGGAAAAAAAAATCAGTCCTGCCTGTGTGGTTCTTGGTTTGCATAGAAGCTTCTGATGGAGGCCAACAGTCCCTTTGGCAGGACACTGGCACACTCCAGGGCTGAGGAGGGAGAAAGTAGCTGCAGGGACCAAGGTGGTGGCTGTTGCAGGTCGGCCGGGTTACAGCATTTTATCCTGAGCCTTCCTGGCCTTCTTTGCCTCTTGCCTACCTTCAGACTTTGCTATGTTCAGAAAATGGGTCAGGGGTGGTGCCACACAGGCTGGGCCGCCACTTTATCTAACTGGTTCGGTTTCCAGCCAGCATTTCTCAACCAGGGGTACTTGGCCCCCGAGGGGACACTTGTCAGCACCTGGGGACATTTGGGTGGTCACACTGGGTGGTGGTGGGTGATGCAGCTCAGCAGCCAGGCTCACCTTCTGAAGGATCTTCCACACCTTCTGATAGAATCCCACGGGGACCCTGTTGATGGCGCCGTCCAGCCTTCTCCTGCGCAGCCACTGGCCCTGCCGTTCCCCCCAGCCCATGTGCTGCCCGCCCGAGTCTGTTGACGATGTGCCTGTGGGTGAGGACGGGGTGCTGGACCTCTGCAAGACAGAAGGGCGTGGCTTTCAGAAGCCTCAGGAGGGCTGCCTGGGGACTAGTCAGAAACACCAGCTGGCTTTACCGGTTTGGTGACCCAGCTTCTTCCCTGCACTCCTCCAGCCACCAACGGGGGGTGCACCGGCAGAGGCCCAGCAGGTCAGGGGGTGGGCTCTGGGGGGCTAAGAACCCCAACTCCACATAAGCAGCGGAGCACAGGCGGGCACCCTGAGTGCAGACGCGGGCAGCCCTGCAGCCCAGGGAGAACAAGGCCATGGGGACTGCGTTCCTCCTGCGGAGCCTGGAGTGTGGTGGTCACCGCGCTGCAGGGCTGGGGCCACCGGAATACAACACCCAGCGCTGGGCAAGGCTCTGAGTCCCAGGAGGAAGGCCTCAGACCATGGTGTGTCCACCTTCCTCTTCAGTGGCTTTCTATTCTGTTCTCAGCATGGGGCTTTCTCCTCATTCGGGGCGATGACTGCTCAGAGCTGGGGTACCATCTCCTCCTCACCTCCTCCCGGAGACTGGATTTATTCTGGCCTCTGCGAGGGAAGCGCTGGGGCAGGGCCAGCAGTTCGGCTTCTGCCTCGGGAGCCACAGGCCCGCCCACGACTGCGGAGGCCGCGGGAGAGGCTCCAGGGGCCTGAGGTCTGAACGGGGCTCCCTGGGTGCAGCCTCCCTGTGGCCAAGCACACGTCCACTCTGCCAGCGGCCTCCCAGTCGGGGATGGAATAACCTTCATCCTTACACATGATCTGAGTTCCGGACTATCTGGCAGTTTTCCTTTCTCGGTGTGCAACCTCAAATGTAAACCTCCGCAGGGCTGGAGGCTTCTCGGAGCACACGTTTTGACTTCATCAGATCTTATTTTGAAAAGGCTGTTAGGCTGGGTTATTCCACTGGGCTCATTACTGCCATTTAAATACGGCAATAATTAGAGACAAATAAAAGTACTTACAGCCATACTCATCAGTGACTCAGCTGGTTTTCTCCCTCTAGTTTTGGGAGGAAGATTCAGACTTGCCTGTGCAATCAGAACATTTCCTCCAGCTTATCTGGGGCCTCCAGGCAAGTGGGGCCACAGCATTTACAAAGTGCCCATCAGCTCGTGCGGGCAGTGGTTTACCCCCGTGGCTCAATAGAAAGATGCATAACCACTGTCCCGAAGGTTCCAGAAGCTCCTGGGGATCAGTGAGAAG